CAAAAGTTCCCAAGGACCCAGTGGGAAATCACATCATGGGGGCTAATGTAACATCATGAAGCAGTACCTCTATGCTTACATATTTTAAATGTATATTTATACTGAAGAAAGAGATGGAAGAAGTAGAAGCCTCTACCAGAATGCAGAAGACAAGAGAGGCTTCCTGGTGTCACATTTTAACTCTAGGGAGATAGAGTTCATGAGAACCCTTTGGACCAATTTGAGGATTTATTATGAGTGGTTAAGTTTATGGTAGAGATCCTGAGGTTACAAACACTAAAAACAGAAAATGAAAATGACTAACACAGGTCAGTGAGACGGGCTCCCTAGCAAGCGCTCTTGCTCCACAGGCCTGACCACCTGAATCTGTCCCCTGGACCATTGATGGCAGGGGGGAACTGACTGCCAGGGGTTGTCTTCTGATGCCCACATCTGTGCCATCACATGCGTGCACACACACTAATAAATAGTATGGCATACCACTGAAATTATAATTCTAAAACTACATCCCAACCAAGTGCACTTATTTTGTGATGTAATTTTCACATTAAAAAAAAAAATTCTCTTAATCAGAGAGAATGGCCTGTTCCTTAAAGGTAATTACACAGGGGGCAGAAGTTAGAGACGGGCATTTTGTATGGTGCCCCCTGTGAATGTACAGTGCTCTGATCACAGGACTTAGCTCAGGACCATCACCCTTGATCAATGAAAGAAGAGAGATGAGAGCTTTCTCCGTATGCTACCATCTCCTAAGAAGACTCCCACTTCTGAATCAGGATTGTATGTGTGTGATCAGGTTCCCAAAGGTGACCCGTATGGTACCATCAGAGAACATCTGGGTTTGGAAGGGAAAGAAGAAATATATGGTCAGATCTTGAGACAAGACACTAAGTGACATCTACTTGAATCTGGTGGAAATTCTTAGTTCAAATAAATGGTGGAATTCAGGGCACTCAATTTGACTCCAGATGTGTGTCTGATACCATGCAGGTTTGATGTACAGCGGTCTACTGCTTTAGCCTCCCAAGTGCGGGGATTGCATGCCTGCTTTCCAAACACAACATTTTAAAAACATCATTCATTCATTCATTCATTCATTTACTCATGCACTCCTCCTTCCAGTCATAAGTTCATTCATACACATTTATTGAGCATCAACTACACACCAGTCACATCCTTGAACAAATACAACCTTTGTGAAAGAGGATAAGGTGACAAACTCACCACTCGCAGAAATCAAGATCATTTCCCAGAAGGGGCATTTACTTAAAGCTCAAAGTCACAGAGAATGTGAAATAGACAAAGAGAGAGAGAGACAGAGACAGAGAGGAAGAGGGAGAGAGGGAAGGAGGGAGGAAGGGAGGAAGGGAGGAAGGGACGGAGGGACGGAGGGAGGAGAGAGAGAGAGAGAGAGAGAGAGAGAGAGAGAGAGAGAGAGAGAG